AAAAAAAAAAAAAAAAAAAAAAAAAAAAAAAAAAAAAAAAAAAAAAAAAAAAAAAAAAAAAAGTGCTTAGCCTGTAGGTATTAAGCTAAGTATTAAATTAAGTTGGCAGAGATGTTTAAGGAAGCAGATGTGCAGAATTCTCTTGTTCTGTGATTATCTATATAAAAGTTGCATATTCTTACTCAAATTTTATTGGGGCACTATCAAGCAAGATGAACAATTCTGTTTTTTTTTTTTTCCTTGGCAAGTTAAATTTTGTATGATTTATCGGTTGGTTTCATTTTTGGTTTTGACGGCACTGATTAACTTATTCAAATTTAGGATAGATTTGTAGATAAACATTCGAATGATAATATGAACTCCCTCCATAATGCTTTCACAATCTAACCCTGAGCGATGCACTAAAGACCACATTATTATTCAGCTTCATTGCTGAAAGCTATGCTTACAAAGCCTGCAAATTGTAATAATTCACCACAATTAAACATTTACCAACACATTAAGGCCACAAAACCAAGATGGCCGCTCAACGTTTAAAATGACAAACAGAAAATAATAATAATAATAAACAAAATAAAATAAAGGGGGTTACTTGAGAAATGGACAACAGGAGCATCACCACTTTCTGTGGATGTGTTCAAACCTCATGCATCACACAATATCAACGCGGGAAGCCAAATTCCGAGAAAACATGTATGAATCTCCATCTAAACGTGATTTTGAAATGAGAAAGCGAACAATACGTCTCCACCGTTGATCCTCATCTCATAGCGAGTGGGGAATGTGTAGGAAGCAGAATTTTCAAACCTGTATGCAGTTCCTTTCCCTAGTGGCAGCAGGCATTGTAGTATATCTAATATCTGCGTTTTGCATATGAGAAAAGAGAGACAATAGGCATCCTCAAGTTTGGAATTAGGAAACCTCTGTTCCAAGAAAGCTTCAGACAGTTGAGATGTCGACTCGGCTTTTGTGAAGCTGAAATGCTGGGGTGATCCAGCTTCCGCAACTGCATTGGATGCCCGACCAATTAAAGTATCCAAGGCGAGCTTCACAATGGGCACACGATAACTTGCCTTCCAATGCACCTTCTTCAACTGGGTAATAGAACAAAAATTCAACGTGGGGTTTTTCATAATTGTAGATCCAAACAAAAACCGTAGTAAATAATGCATTACCAAAATGTATTTACTAGCTCTATCATCTTTATATGGAAACTGTTCTCCATGACTTGGAACATATAGTTTCCTAAACATAAAAAACTCCTTTTTTTCAACAGGAGAAACCGAGTCGACCCAAAACTCCCATCGGTTGATGATTTCATTATAAAACTAGTTAGAAGTTCATACAAGCAATGAATTATCAGATATGTAGAAGATACGGCAGAGGTCATGAAAGGAAGAATTTACCTCCTGTCATCCACCGTAGGGGCTCAATAAAAATAGATGAGCACTCAGGTTCCTCTGACTTGTTAAAAGGGTTTCCACTTTTTCTCTTACGCCAGTCAAACGACGACTCACCTTCGCCAGGAATGTGATCCACCACATTTTCCTGCAAGGCAACCAGCCTTCGACATTTCTTGCAGCGGTATGCACGTGCAAGGGAATTATCTAATTGTTGGGATGACTGTACGGCTGAAGCAACTTCACAGGTCAAGCCTGGATCTGCTCCAAGTTTAGAAATGTTGATTTTCTCCCCGCGGTTGTATGACTCGCCTGAAGGCATGGAGAGGCAATAATTCAAAAGAAAAGCAAAAAGGAAATTCACAGCATAATCGTTACAAGAATAAAATTAGAAAGAGAGAAAAATGTCAATCACTAGAGGTGTAGAAGTATGAACCAGAGCTAAAATCCCAAACCAAAAGTCTATCAAAACATGTGTTCTAAGTGCAACCTATTTATGTTCGACTGGAAAAGTTATTACCGAAGTAAAATTGGGAGAAACTATAGAAAAGATAGAGATCATTAATAATACAATTCTCATGCTAGATTAGATCAATAGCCAAGGTTGACCAGGTCAAGGACTAAGTACTGGGTTGGCCCAAACTTTGAAACCATCTTAAATCATCAATCAAATCAACTCAAAAACTGGATGATTATGGTAAATTTAATTTTATATACACTCCAATCGACACATAATAATTGACATGTAAGCAATCATTTCCTTTTTATTTTAAATCTTTTGACCTGTAAATGAAGTTCAGATGAAAAAAAAATATGCCATGTCTTGGGCAAGCAAAAATCTCTGATGCATGGCTCTCTATCCTAGCCAAAACAGATGTTCCTCAACTCGAGACGACTGTTCTGGTATACTATAGTCTGGGAATAAATGGCAATGCTCAGATTACTGCTTAAATTCACAGACCATCAAACGCCCCTTGACACGAAACTAAAACCCAGAATATAAGATGACAACTGAACAAAAGAACTAATATTATTTTCCTTTTTTAAAATATTGTGAATATTCGGCCAGCTTACACACCCCTTAACTAATCATAGGAGAGACCACAGGATCCTACATCATACAGCTGTCAAGAAACACTAGGATTTTATCCTAAGTAGGTGACCACATAAATAATCTTGAATAGTTAAAAGCTTGTGGGAGGGAACTATAGACCAAAAAAATAATATTGAAAAAAAAGATCTAGGAAATGAATGAATTGAATAACAGCAGTACTCATTCAAAGAAATGAACTAGATTGAGACAATACAGGAGGGGGCAAGTGAAAAAAAGCACCACGTACCCAATATTTTCAGGCGAAAACGCTTGTATATGGGACTGGCATAATCAACCTTGAAACCCATGTCCTCGAACAGTTTTAACTGCAATGAATACAGATTAATAATTAGAAAATTAGAATGGTTTATCAAGTGCATTGACATTCTGCACAACACCTTTCAGTATCTTATGAATTAACAATATTTCCAAGATCACCTGCTCCATAAATCCATCATTGGGGCTGACAAACTCATTGCTTTGTCGCAAGGAATCAAGTGCATCTGCATCACGTATAAGAAAGAAAAACTAGCAATAGGTCGGAACCATAAGCAAACTACATATACTGGTTCATAATAGTTCAAGCAAATAATGTATGCTTATCACACCTTCTAGAGATAGCCGTTCCTTTCTCATAAGGTACGATGTGATGATAGCAGCACTGCAACGAATAAATGCAAAGGATGATATAACTACTTGATAATGAGAAAACTGGGGAAATTTTCACATAAGGCTGCAGTGGATAAACTATAATACAGCATGGGTATGAAGTATATGAATCATTCCTAATTTTTTTAACTTCAAATATGAGGAAGTTTGTATCAAGTTTTATGCAGTTCTCCTTTGTATGGAAAAGCTAGTTATCTCTAGCTCAATGTCATTAACCATTCTTTTCAATTTGTGGTTGGAGAGGAATAAACACGTCTTTTAAAGGACGGAAAAGATTTTGACACTTCTCTGAAGGCTGTTCTTCCTGGTGATTTGAATTAGAAATCCTTGTAAATAAATTTGGTAACCACTCTCTCTTCCATGAGGACCCAATTGAAGAGTGTTCTTGAAATGACCTCTAGCATTTCTTTAAGAAGTCTCCTCATGTCATTTTGGTATGAACCACTAAATTTTACAATATGGAAAGACAGTAACAAATGGTTGATAACATTTTGAGAGGCTCATCTACCTCCCCATCGCTCAAGTTGGAGTTCCACAAAAAGTTCGCAGAAGCCCACACTTAGTCCTAAGCCCCTCTGTAATTTCCAACTTGGCCATGTCTTTGGTATTGGCCCACATATCTTGCAGGAATTAAGGAACCACTCTTTGGTTATCTGAGGAGCAACACAAGTGACACCAACAGCCAGATAATGGCTGTAAATATTATTATTTTGTTCTCAAAATTGTCAGCGCTACATGTCTTAAAATGCTCCAAACCTCAATCGGGTAGTTGTCAAATAATTCGTGTCCAAAATTATGGACGTTTTACTTAATCTGCATAACCTTTTATTATAAAATTGCAAGTGCACCTCCTTTTTCAAGAAAGGCAGAAGACAAAATCCAAGAACAACATATATAATACAGACTTTCAGGTTCCAAGCGAGTCCATCCACGACTAGATGGAAGCCATCATAACATTCATATCCAGGTACAACGAAACAACGTATAACAAAAAATTTATCCGTAACTAACGATGGAAAAATCACAGTACCTTCACAATAACTTGGCAGAAATAGCATATCACATATCAAAGCAAAAGATGAGTGGTTACAGAATGAAAATAGCAACAGCCTAACAGGAAAGTTTGTCATACCTTCTTGATACTCCAGCAAAGCAATGCACCAGAACAGATCCCTCTTTTCTACCCTGCTCAATGAAATCATAGCACACATTCAAATAATCCAACAGATCTTCATTTTCCATATCTCTCAGCGGCACTGCCATCCTCACAACCTTCAAATCCTTTCCAGCATGTTCCAATGAGTACAAGAGCTTCTCAGGTGATAAGGAACTCTTCGACCCATCAACATAGTCATTCTCAGAAGCTGAATCACAGCCACCCACG